ATCCCAGCACCTCTGCAGGCAATGACACAGCCCAAAAGTTAAGGAAAACGCTAGAGGAACAGAGTGAAAAAAGATTTGTTGAAGGCACAGAGGTTAATGAACAGATATACGGGAGATCAGACCTCCTAGCGGGTGCAATGGGAGCTACCAGACACGTAGTGTTGTGGAGCTCTGAAAATTGGGGCCAGGCAGCTAAAGGTTTGATGTAGGGCCCAGATCCTCAAGAGATGTTTAGGTTTGTAACCAATTTCAGTGGAACCTAAATACCTGTAAAGGATCAGATCCTAACCGAGCTGCCTACAGTCACACAGGGAGTCCATAGCGGAGCTGGGAATGAAACCCAGGTCTCTGAAAGCTCAGGCAAGTGTTCTAAGCACAACCATTCTCCTCTATAGCAGGGACAGAAGTGGCTCTGAGCCAGGCAGGTAGCTATTAGGAATAGACTAGAAGCATGGCTGTTGATTTAGCTCCCAATAGACTTCACTGGGCACCACATTGCGCCCATGAAGTCACGTCACTGCAAAAAAAATTTTTTTTTTAAAATATCCAAAAACTGATTCAAATTAATTTCCTTTGTTACTTGCCCTCCCTCTTCCAGCACAGCTGGTAACCTGTTTAAATAAAGCCAGAGGAAAATTAAAAACACAATTAAGACCATAGAAGTCAGCAGGTAAAAATTATATTTTTATTTTAAATTTGAATAAACCCGGAAGAGGATTTGTTGGTTTGTTCCATTGAATGGTTCAGTTAAAAAGGCCAAATAAATTTCATTGTCTGGGGGGCGTTCAGGCCCATCGGAAGAAATATACAGACAAAAAACCCCACCCATAAAAAAAAAATGATTTAAACCCGGCACTGAAATGCAACTTGGAAAGCTAAGGTGTAAGACTTGTTTGTTTAAAAACAAAAACACATGAATGAAATGGTTACAATGATGCAAATTTAGTCTTTATCTTTTCTTTTTTTTTTAAGTATTTTACTTATTTATTTTAAATACAGGTTTAGGTGCTTTTTCAGCTATGAAAAAAAGGCAAAAAAGTGCATAAGTCAGAGAGAAGGCAGAAATCAAGCAGTAAGATGTCTGTTTTCCATGGCAGAAGGAAAAAGGGGGGGGGGCAGGCAGGGGAAGGGTAGGATAGGGACAACAGTGTCAAGGTAGCATTAAAAAAGTTTTAGGCCAAAAACTTAGTTTCCTGTGTTTTTATTTGGTCCATTAAAAAAAGGTTTATTCACATTGTTACTTCCCCCCCTCCCCAGACAACTGGCTCTAAGAACAGAGTTTTAGTGATCAGGAATGTGCACTTCTCCATTCCCCCAGGTCTTGTGCTCACACGTTTCAGCACCACCAAGGATTTCAATTCCCTACAGCCCATCGCTGTCACTTCTATGCTGTGCCCAAGGCTGATTGCATCTCCTTTCACCCACGCCCCTCCCAAGTCTCCCACAAGCCCTTAGATGAACAGGAAAGCTGGTTAAAAAACAGAAGGTTCACCATTATCCCCAGCCCTGCTGCTAGCTGGCTCGTCCAGTGGGATGGAACAGCTCATCAACCCTTTTAGTACAGTACATTGATCTGGGGACGGGAGACCAGAGACCCTCTTGCCCATACAAGCTTCAGCACTATAGCAACTATCAGAGAGAGACTAGGAAGTAACAGGTTTCAGGGCTCGCTGCTACCCACCCCTTAGGCCCTCTCACTCAAACATTTCACCTTCAATTCAGGGTCCCTTAGGCACGGTTCTGCATCTCCCTTGTGCTTCTGGAAGTGAAACAATGAGCACTTGAGAAAGAGAGGAGAGGCCGGGTGTGGAGTCCTCTTCCATATTTCAGGGGTGGCTTCCCCATTTTAAAAACCTAGCAGCCTGTTTCTCCCTTCCCCCGAAAGGGCAGCACCACGGTAAGAGTGTACGGAGCAGAAGTGGAAGTGTAAACCCGAAACAGTGCACTGGGATCAAGCAGAGGTCTCCAGTGTGCTCAGGGAGAAGGGGGCACCCATCAGGGAGACTCTTAAAACGGACATGCTACCCAGCTTAGTCCCCACATTGCCTCTTAAAGCCAGTTAAAAGTTACAAAACATTTAGCCAGGCCTGTCTGCTGAGAACTTACAGACCCCCCTCATTGGATGCAGCGTAAAGAGCCTCCCCTGTAATGCACCATCAGGTCAGACTCCCCTGGGATAATGAGGGCAGTCATGCTACATGGAATTCCAGTTGAGAGGGAGAAAGGCACCAGGGAGTGGGGGGGTCTCAGCATGCCAAGGCAGAGAGGGCAGCAGAGTTGATCCACTGGGGAAATGTGGGAGGATTCGCAGCTAGCTCTTCTCAATGCACAACTTCCTTCACCAAGGACAACATAGCACCATCTTCCCTGCAGACAGATTTCCAGTTATAGTGGCCCCTGGGCCCAAAACATTGGGTTGGGTTGGGGATGTGCTTTGAAGTTTTGGTCCCTGATGCGATCCAAGCCAGCAGCAGCCTGGAACGTCTACCACCAGCCTGGACCCAGCGAGAATGCAGAGAAGGTGGGGGCGGAATGTATCTGTTCATTGCCCTTCCTGGTCCCTTTGCCACTGACCTTCCCCTCCGCGGAGAGAAGGCTGTAAACATCCCAGCTCAAACTGGAATGGAATTGGAACTAGGCCTGGCCCTGCTGCCCCTGGGAAAGGGCCCTGCTGGCTCCCTCTCCTCCTTCCAGGTGAGCGTTGGCTGACTGTTGTGTGGGGAGGTTTGTTCTACCTCCCTGCCCCCATCCGGCTCTCCAGAACCACAGTCCCAGTAGTGGCTCCCGCTGAGCAAGACACATGCCAGTGCAAAGCAGAAACTAACTGGAACTTGGTCGAGTCCCTGGTCTTTGCCCTCCAAAAAACCCCAAGGCACCTCATGCCTTTTTCACGACATCTCCGCCAGCCACTCATGGGGCAGAATTTCTCCAATGGTCGGCTCAGTTCATTCATGGACATAGGATGAAAGCAGAGCTAGACTGAGCAGTCAGTGGCGCCAAACAGCCATAGGGGCAGGGGGTGGTGAGGGGGGCACTAGAGACTAGGAACCACG